CCGGGGAGGGGGTGGTGGCGGGAACTGCTGCAGCAGCGGAGCTTTGCTGCTGGGGATGCTGCTGCTGCTGCTGCTGCTGCTGCTGCTGCGGGCAACCGGCAGCCGCGGCAGGCGCAGCACCCCACACGCCGCGCTGCTGCTGCTGCTGCTGCTGCTGCTGCTGCAGCAGCAGCAGCAGCAAAAAGCCGAGGTAAAAGGGTTTTATTTATTTAAAACTTGAACTAATTCCATAAATGTTCAAGACTCACACTTGTTGGGGTTTGAGGGCTCCCTCGAGTACTTCACCATCTTCGCCGAGATGCACGTACACCCCAAATCCGCGGGCTAAACCCTAAACCCTAAACCCTAAACCCTAAACCCTAGGCCCCGCAGCACGACAATTTAAATTCGATCTTCCCGAACCAAGCTTCCAGAAAACGCTGCTGCAGAAGCCCCCACGAGGCGCCCCTCTGCTGCTGCTGCTGCTGCTGCTGCTGGCTGCCGTTGCTGCTGCTGCTGCTGCCGCAGGGGCTGCTGCTGCTGCTGCAGCGCGCGCAGCTGCTGCTGCTGCTGCTGCTGCTGCTGCTTCTTGTGCAGCATATTTCGCGCTAAATGTTTATTAAAATGCCAAAAACTTTATTTTTTTTGAATATTTATTTCGACTTATTTGAGCTGTCTGTCGGTACACCCGAGCGCAGCCCGCTCCCCTCGTCGCGGCTCCTCCTAACCCAGCCAGCCCCGAGCAGCAGCAGCAGCAGCAGCAGCAGCAGCAGCAGCAGCCCCTGCAGCAGCAGCAGCAGCAGCAGGGCAGCTTCACACAAGCACTAGCTAGCTACAGAGATTTCGGACTTCTAGAACACCCCAGCGCGTTTACTGCACCCGTCGTCGTCGTCGCTGCAGCTGCTGCTGCTGCCGCTGCTGCTGCTGCTGCCGCTGCTGCTGCTGCTGCTGCTGCTGCTGCTGGCCAGCGGCGCGAGTCCGTCTTGTGCTCTGCTGCAGTGCCCTCCATGTCGCGTCTGTGCCCGTTGCTGCTGCGGCGCAGCCCGGGGCCCCCCCCGGGGGCCCCCGCCGCCGCCTGCCTCCGCAGCAGCAGCAGCAGCAGCAGCAGCAGCAGCAGCAGCAGCAGCAGCAGCAGCGGGCCGCTGGCCCTGTCTGCTGCGCGCCGCGGGGGCAACCACATCTACCTCGGGAGGTACCACGACTTCAACCAGTGGGAGTTTCTGCCGCACCCTTTGCTGCAGCAGCGGGGGAGTTTGCTGCCAGTGGGCAGCAGCTACGAGCCATACTTGAGCCGCCTGCAGCTGCTGCAGCAGCAGCAGCAGCAGCAGCAGCAGCAGCAGCAGCAGCAGCGGGTGCTGCGGGGCAGCGGGCTGCACGGCCCCGAGTGCGGCGAGCTGCTGCGGCTGGTGCTGTGGAACCGCCTCAAGCAGCGGCGGAAGCAGCGCGAAGTGCCGCAGCAGCAGCAGCAGCAAGACTTCAACAAGTTGGAAGTTGCATGCGTTTGGTTCACTTGGAGTTTGCTGCTGTTCTTCCTGCCGCTTGCTGCAGCAGCAAAACGCTTCGTGCTGCAGCACGAGCACTTCCCCTGGACCCCCGAGCGCACGGACGGCAGCAGGGGCGAGGGCCCCTTCTGGTGGTTCCTCGAGTAGCTGCTGCAGCAGCAGCAGCAGCAGCAGCAGCAGCAGCAGCAGCAGCAGCAACTACAGCAGCAACAGCACCTGCTGCTGCAGCCCTGCTGCGGTGCGTTGAGCTGCGTGCTGCTGCTACAAAGGCGTGCAACTTCTGCATATTCTCAAATGGTTCTTTCTGAGCCAGGGCCTAGGGTTTAGGGTTTAGGGTTTAGGGTTTAGGGTTTAGGGTTTAGGTTTATAGAGTTTAGGGTTTAGGGTTTAGAGTTGCGTTTTGAGCCCTCGCTTATTTGCTGCTGGTTTTAGGGCCTTTAGAGTAAAATGTGAAGAAAACAGCAAAGCTGCTGCTGCAGCTGCTGCTGCTGCAGCAGCAGCAGCTACTGTTGCAGCAGCTAGGATGTGCTGCAGCAGCAACTGCAGCAGCAACAGCAACAGCAACAGCAGCAGCAACAGATGCAGCAGGCGCAGCCTGCCTTTCACCCTCTTGCCCGCGGTAAACGTAAAGCCCAGTGCGAGTGCTGTCCCCTGCTGCTGCTCCCTGCTGCTGCTGCTGCTGCTGACTGCTGCTGCTGCTGCTGCTGCTGCTGCTGCTAATCTGCTGCGTCCTTGCAGCTGTTTGCAGTATGAGCATGCATCGGGCAATGTGGGCAAATAAATGTAGATCTGTCGACTGGGCAGCAGCACTAACAGCAACAGCAGCAGCAGCAGCAGCAACAGCAGCAGCAGCAGCAGCAACAGCAGCAGCAGCAGAAACAGAAACAGCAGCAGCAGCAGCAGGATGGCAGTAATTTTCGGCAGCTTTGCTTGCGAGGCTGTTTCCTCTCTTGGTAAAGAAACAGCTGGCGTGCAGCAGCAGAAATCAAATTCATCTTTTCCATTTTATTTATTTATTTATTAAATTTATTTATTTATTTATTTATTTATTTATTTATTTATTTATTTATTTATTTCATTTAAACAATTCTATTCACATTATGGAAATGCGTAAGTGCAGGAAGTCCATTAGGATAGATTTGCAAAAGACGCGCAGATAGCCGTTTGAAGGCAAACGAAGCAAATTTGGGGGAAATTGGCGGAAATTAAAAAGCTGCATGCATGCAAAATGAAGATTGGAATTAAATTTGCGTTTAAAGGACCTTTTTAGTGCTAAAAAACTTTGCAATTTGGCGAAAAGGCGGAAACGAGCGAGTCAGACTCGCGGTGTACGTACACCGCAGCTGGCCGCTGCGCAGAACCGCCAGCCCGCGGCGGAAAGCTTTCTTTCGGAATTTTTTTGGATTAAATGAGTTGAAAAGCAATTTAGGATTAAAATAAAGGAAAAGAGGAGAAAAAAAGAGGCAAAAAGCAGCCAGTGGGGAGGCGAGAAGCAGCCGCTCAGCCCGAGCCCCTCATCGGGCCTGACCAGGCGCCGCAGCGGCGCCTGCGGGGGCTTTCGGGGTTCGTTGCGCTCCAAAAAGCGCCACTTAAATCCCAAAGTTTATTTAATTAATTTAAATTGAAGTTGGGAGCGAAGAAAAGGGAAAAAAGGGGAAAAAGCAGCGCCGCGAGACCCCGGGCTGCGTCGATTGCTGCTGCTCCGGCGACAGCTGCAGCGCTGTGCCCGCTCCCGCTGCTGCTGCTGCTGCTGCTGCGCTTTTCTCGCTTTTCCGGCTTTTATTTCGCTTTTATTGACTTTAAAATGCATTAAAAGTCCCCTCGAAGTCTTTTCTTTCTTCCTCGGCAGCAGACGGAGCGCCGGCGGCTGCACGGCTCGCCTCGCAGCTGTACGTACACCTCACCACCGCCCCTCTCCGCCATGTACGTACACCCCAGGGGCCCCCGCAAGCTGCCGCTGCATGCGCTGCTGCTGCTGCTGCTGCTGCTGCTGGCGCTCTTTTGGGGCCCCACAGGCCGTCCCCCGGGTCCCCCGGGGCGCCGCAGCGCCGGGGGGGCCTCGGGGGGCCCCCCCGGGGCCCCGTGGGGGCCCCTGGGCGCGCAGGGGGCCCCCCCGGGGGGCCCCCCGGGGGCCCCCCGGGGGCTGCAGAAGTCCCCGCGGGCCCGCCTCGAACAGATGGTCATGGGGAGCCCCTTAAGTGGCAGCACTTCCAGTCTTTTGGCTGAAGACGAAGCAGCAAAAGAAGAGACAGAAAGACTTTTGGCTGTCTCCTCTTTGGGCCCCGCAGACCGCTTTCGGCAGCTCATAGAAGAGGAGGCCAAGTTGGCGGCGCTGGCGGAGGGGGGGCCCCCGGGGGGCCCCCGGGGGCCCCCAACGCAGCGGTGGCCCTGGAAAGCGGGGGGCTGCTGCTGCACCCTGTGGGGCCCTGGAGGCCCCGGCAGCAGCAGCGCAGCAGCAGCAGCAAATGGGCCAAACTGGGGTTGGGAGTTTTGCCTCCTGCTGCTCTTTTCTCGCAGCTAATTGTGGGGGCCCAAATGAAGCAAAAGGTCCTCGAGGACAAGTCCCCGCTGGCCTGGAGATCTGCAGACGGTCAGCTGCTGCTGCTGCTGCGCTGCTGCTGCTGCTGCGCTGCTGCTGCTGCTGCTGCTTCTGTTGCTGTGCTGCTCCTGCTCCTGCTGCTGTGCTGCGGCTGCTGCTGCTGCTGCTGCGAGTGTTGCTGCTGTTGCTGCTGTTGCTGCTGCTGCTGTTTCTCCTCTTTTGTCTCTTCAACTCCTCTCTGCTTCTTGCTGCTGCTGCTGCTGCTGCTGCTGCGCTGCTCCCTGCGCACAACTCGCTGCGTCCCGCGGCTCATTTCTCCCCTTCTCCCTGCTGCTGCTGCTGCTGCTGCTGCTGCTGCTGCTGCAGAGGCGGACGGGTTGATGCGTTCTTTCTCTTTTCCGGGGCCTCAAGGAGACAAACTGAAAGAGCTGCTGCTGTCGAAGCCTGCTGTTGCTGCTTCGGGTGTATTGGCAGCTCTGGCGGGTGTCTACTGGGGCTCTCGGCTGTACCGACACTGGCGCGGCCGCGGCCGCCGCAGCAGCAGCAGCAGCAGCAGCAGCAGCAGCAGCAGCAGCGGGGAGGGGCTGCTGCTGCCGGAAACTGCCAAGTGGAGCTTCCGAGACTGTCTCCTTTTGGTGGATGTGGCAGCAGCAACAAAGGGACTGCTGGGGGGGGCCTTCAAGCGGGGCTCGGCTCAGGTGTACGTACACCTCAAGGCCCAAAGAGCTGCGCTCATTTACACTCGAATTCCCTCGGCTTTTAAAAGTCCCTTTCGAGCTTTTTTCCGCAAAGAGGAGACAGTTCGCGAGCTCTTTGATTTGCCAACAGACCACTGCTTCGTGTCTCCCGCTGCTGCAGCAGCAGCAGCAGCAGCAGCAAGCAGCAGCAGCAGCAGCAGCAGCAGCAGCAGCGGCGGCGGCGGCGAGGAGGGGGGGCCCCTGCCGCCCGTGTACCTGCGCGAGTACGTGCAGAAGGGCCTCTTCAGGGGCCCCCGGACCATTGGTCTGGTGCTGCATGCAGAGAGGTCCACTGGTCCACTGCTGCTGCAGCAAACTGCAGCAGCAGCGCCGCCGCCGCCGCTGGACCTGCTGGAAGCCATAAAGCTCAAGTACGCAGAAAGCCTGCAGCCCCAGGTCCAGCTGGAGCCCCCCCCAGCAGCAGCAGCAGCAGCAGCAGCAGCAGCAGCAGCAAACAGGGAGCTGCTGCAGACCCTCGAAAAAGCAGCAGCAGCAGAAAGTTGTGTGGGGCCCCTCTTGTGCGTGGAAGGAGTTGCTGTGTCTTCCTTCGGGAGTGTATGTACAGTGCATGCAGCAGTTGACGACCCGAGGCCCCTCAGGGTCTTCGCGGATCTTCCTTCCCAGACCTTCATCATTTCTGCTGCTGCTGCTGCTCCTGCTGCTGCTGCTCCTGCTGCTGCTGCTGCTGCTGCTCCTGCTGCTGCTGCTGCTGCTGCGCCGGCAGCAGCGGAGGCGCCGGAGCAGCCGGCAGCAGACGCAGCAGCAGAGGCGCCGGGCGCTGCAGCAGCAGCTGCAGCAGCAGCTGCAGCAGCACCTGCAGCAGCAGCTGCAGCAGCAGCAGAAGACGAAGCAGCAGCAGAAGCAGCAGCAGCAGAGTACAGCATAGTGCTTCCCAGCCACTGCTTGCTGGCAGCAGCAGCAGACGCGAGCTACAGCGTGTCAGTGTTTGCTGTGGATGTGGAGCGCCGGGGTGTACGTACACCTGAGGCCGCTGCAGCAGCAGACTGGGCAGGGGGGGAAGCAGAAAAAGAAAAAGAAAAAGAAAAAGAAAAAAGAGAAGCAGCAGAAGAAGCAGAAGAGAAGGGAGACAAAGAAGGACACAAAAAGGAAGAAAAAGAAGAAAAGCTTCCCAGCCACTGCTTGCTGGCAGCAGCAGCAGACGCGAGCTACAGCGTGTCAGTGTTTGCTGTGGATGTGGAGCGCCGGGGTGTACGTACACCTGAGGCCGCTGCAGCAGCAGACTGGGCAGGGGGGGAAGCAGAAAAAGAAAAAGAAAAAGAAAAAGAAAAAAGAGAAGCAGCAGAAGAAGCAGAAGAGAAGGGAGACAAAGAAGGACACAAAAAGGAAGAAAAAGAAGAAAAAGAAAAAGAAGAAAAAGAAAAAAAAGAAAAAGAAGAAAAAGAAAAAAAAGAAAAAGAAGAAAAAGAAGAAAAACAATTCCAATATGTCCGAATCCAATTTAGGCCGCACCCCAAAGGCAACTTGAGTGTCGCTCTTCCTTCGCTGCCTCCCAGGATTCTGGGCCCTTAGTGTCTTTTGCTGCTGCTGCTGCAACTGTTTCTGGTGTCCCCTCCTTTTCTGTGTTGTCTCTGCTGCCTCAAGTGCTGCCTGCGGCTTATTTGTT